ATGAACACAACCTGCAGCATCCCTAAAAACTGCCCCTAACCCATGCCATTCTCCTCCAACATTACAGCGTCAGTTTTGATTTTTATTATACCAGGAGCATGAGGAAGCTAATAACTTCTATAAATCACAGATCTGGTAGCAGGAAGCCAGGAACATAGCAAACTCTAATTATTTTTTAAAATCGAGAACAAGTTTCACAAAACCCATAACTCCTACTATAATTCACTGCTCCAAGTCTTACCAAACACCACTGAATTATGAAAAGCCCACGTATCCCAAACAAAAGCCACCAGAACCAGCATCTCATTTACCATATTTATCAAATGCCTAGTAAATTCGTTCAATGAGTATTTTTCTAACAACTTCAAACTCTCCCAATTTGATTCCACTACTGATGTGTATTTTTCTATGTTATCTCCCATGTCAACTTTGCATTTGAGTATTGAATTACCGTATTTGTTTTTGTTATCACTGTTTTCAATTGAAGTGTCTTTTGAGTTCCCCCCCCCCATAATTTTTTTTTTGGTCACTCGAACATAATTTATATTATATAATATATCATCTAATGTGTGGATATTGCTTGATTTTTTTTTTTTCAGCATTCATCCTTTTGGATTCTTTTGGTCACTGCATGCTTAGTTTAGAAGACTCTTGAAGACAGCTATACCAAGGTATTACTCACATCTTATATGCTACTATTTCAAGTTATGACAGTTTAGTTTTGAGATAAGCTTTAGATTGTTGTATGCTATACCAAGTAAGCATGTAATTTTGTTTGTATGGCTTGTAATGACTTTGACAAAGCAACTTAGTGACTTATAACTATTTGGTATCTCCAATAGTTCATCATCTTTGATTACATTGGTTTAATTATATAATTGTAGGTGATTTTTCTTAATTTTTTTTTATTATTATATAGTGAGGTTTAAATAGTATGCAATGAAAATTGCATCAATAGGTTAGATTTCATATAGTAAATCCTATACCTATAACTTTTATTTCTGTTGCATGGCTATAATGATTGACCTTTCCTCAGTTTTATGATCAGAATATATGAAATAAAAGTATGCTACCCCAATCTGCTTTGTTGTGTATTTTAGTTTGTGAAGAATTTGATATTTGTTCTGATAAGTAAGCTTTAAAATTTTCTATTTATTTGGTCAAAATTGTAGTTCCCTTATTAAAGTATTAATTATGTATAGATATGGATACAAGTTGGATAGAACTTCCACGATGCCACACTCAATATGTCAAAGGTTGTATGCAATTCATTAACTTTGCTAAGGTAGCTCAGGTAGAAGGAAAGATTCGGTGTCCATGTAAGACATGTAAAGTGGATAAATGGCTTTGTGTAAATGATGTAGAAAGACATATCTTGTTTAACGGGTTTTATAAATCATACAAGAAATGGATTTTTCATGGTCAAGGGGATTTGCTTCAGCGTATGATTGGGTGTGATGGAGGTAGTACTAGCCAAGGATCCCCACTAGATCAAACAAGGTTTGAAGGTCGAGATGATATGGGAGGCCTATTGAGATCTGCTTTTAGTTTTGAAAAACCCTCAAATGACCTAACCTTTGAACCACATGAAAATAATGAAAATGACGAGTATCTTGAAGACCCTGTCTTTTATGAAGAGGAGATTGATTTAGAATTTTCAACAACGCAAGATGAAGCTAAGTATAAGAAATTACTTGATGTTTTCCGATGAGAAATTGTATGACGGTGTACTAAATTTTCCAAAACTGTCTTTTCTTTTACACCTTTTTCACACAAAATGTATGAGCCATTGGTCTGCTGAATCCTTTAATATGCTACTCGAGCTTCTCATAGACGCATTTCCCCAAATACTTGAGTTCCCCTCATCTTATTATCAAAGTAAGAGAATAATAAAAGACCTTGGCCTTGGATATGAGAAGATTGATGCTTGTCCAAATAACTGTATGTTGTATTGGGGTGATTATTCAAAGAAATACAAGTTTCATGTTTGTGGTACATCAAGATGGAAGAAAAATAAGGGTAGAAATGATAATGTCAGAGATCAAGATAAGACTGTTTCTACGAGTGGTGAGCCAGCTAAGGTAATGCGTTACTTTCCTCTTATCCCTAGACTGAAGAGAATTTACATGTCCTCAAAAACAGCAGAAGATATGAGATGGCATTATACTCATAATGATAAATTGAATGATGTTGATAAGAAGATGTTAAGGCACCCTTCAGATGCATTAGCTTGGAAATCATTTGATCAACGTTATGAGGATTTTGCCTCGGATCCTCGTAGTGTTTGATTAGGACTTGCAAGTGATGGGTTTAATCCATATCGTTTGATGAACACGACTTATAGTACATGGCCTGTGGTGTTGATTCCCTATAATCTTCCACCGTGGTTATGTATGAAACCATCTTCATTCATGTTGTCTATTATCATTCCCGGTAAAACAAGTCCCGGAATTGACATCGATGTGTATTTGCAGCCACTAGTTCATAAATTGAAATTGTTATGGAGTGGGGTTGATGCTTTTGATGCTTATGATGGAGAGAAATTTAAATTGCGAGCCGCTTTGATTTGGACTATTAATGACTTTCCTGGTTATGCAATGCTCTCCGGTCTGAGCACCAAAGGCTATATGGCATGCCCTATATGCATTGATTCAACTCCTTTTGAAAATTTTGGGAGTAAGACTTGTTATTGTGGGTATCGAAAATGGCTTCCATCATGTCATCCATATCGATTTGAGAGTGACAGTTTTTAACGGAAGAGAAGAGCATGGTGAAGCTCCACCTCGGCCTAGTGGGACTGACATATTGGGGCTACAAGAAAAGGTTGGGTATGTTTATGGGAAGACATCAAAAAGAAAGAGAGGTAACGAGGGTAACAATGAAGAAGATGTTGTCATTGGTACCAAGAGAGGCATATTTTATAATTTAGAGTATTGGGAGCATAATTTGTTGAGGCATAATCTAGATGTAATGCACATAGAAAAAAAATGTGTGTCACAATATTTTAAATACTCTCTTAAATACCGATAAAAGCAGAGATAAGAAGGATGATCGAGATGCCCTTCAAGGATGGGGCATAAAGCCACATCTTTGGGTTCAAGATAATCATATGCCTTCAACTTCTTATTCTATGTCTGTAGAGGAGAAAGAGAGGTTCTTAAAAGTTTTACAAAAACTCAGAGTCCCTGATGGCTATGGATCTAACCTTTCTAGATGCGTGAACATGAAGCAAAGAAGGTTGATTAACCTTAAGAGCCATGACAACCATGTTTTGATGCAAGATATCCTTCCCGTCGCATTAAGAGCTTCTAATGCAACAAAAGTAATTGATTTGCTTGCAAAATTGTCTTACTTTTTCAAGCAATTATGCTCCACTGCTATTGATCCTGATGATCTAGATGCTCTTCAAGAAGGAATTGTATTAACCCTTTGTGAGTTGGAAATGGAGTTTTTGCCTTCATTTTTCACAATCATGGTTCATTTGCTAATTCACTTAGTGGAGGAGGTTAAACTCGGTGGGCCAGTACAGTACAGATGGATGTATCCCATTGAGAGGTTAGATTTATTTACATATATGTCTAATCTAAATTCATCTAGAAAATCTATAAACTTACTGTATTTTAATTATAATTTGACTTTTTGAAAAGGTACTTGGCCCATCTAAAGTCACATGTAGCTAATAAAGCCCAACCTGAAGGGTCAATTGTAGAAGGCTACCTTTTAGAGGAGACCATTAGGTTTTGTTCAAGATATCTTGAAGGTGTTAAGACCGTCTTTAACAAACCTAAACGAATTGATGATGATAGTCCCAATTCTGGAAAATGCTTGTGTAATTCTGGCGGTTGAGTAATTGGGAAAGAAGTCAATTTCCGTCTAGATGACAAAAGCCTAAAACAAGCTCATCGCTATGTTTTACTGCATCATTCTGATGAAATTCAAGATCTTCTCGAGTAAGTAGCAGGTTTTATTCTATTTTATGAATAACCAATTATTATAATATATCATTATAAATTATAATTTATTTTCCTTTCTTTGAAGAGAATTTTTAAATCTAAAGCGACAAATGAATACACATAACCCAATCACTGAAAGTGATGAAAGTGATTGGATCATCAACGAGTTTGGAGAGTGGTTGCGAAGTCAGGTGATATATATGTATCCTAATGTGTTCAATTTTCTTACAAAAATAGCAGACTGTTTTTGACTTTATATTCTACCATGATAGGTACACTCAATAGATGAATCCACCGAAGATGGGAAACTTAGAAAAATTCTGGCAGGGGGATTGAATTGTTATGGTAGAAAAATGAAGGGCTTTATGATCAATGGGTATAAATTTCAGTTCATGGACCGTGATAGCCGTTTGACTACCCAAAATTCTGGAATCATGGTTGAAGCAGATGGAGAAGCATATTATGGGAAAGTGAAGGATATATATGAATTGGACTATTATGGGACTTACAAAGCTATATTGTTTCATTGTGTTTGGGTAGACATACATAGGGGTGTTAAATCAGATCAAAATGGCTCTATATGTGTTAATTTCTCTAAGTTGATGCATTCAGGAAGAAATTTGCAAGATGATCCTTTTATTTTCTCATCTCAAGCAAAACAGGTTTTCTACATTGAAGATGAGATACGAAAAGGTTGGTTTCATGTTGTAAAGACTAAGCCTACAGACTTGTTTGATTTAGGGGATGAGTTAACTGAAGTAGATAACGACAATGAATGATTAGTTTCCTATTTATTATTTAATTTGGATTTGTAATTTCTGAATTTAATTATGAGTTGATATTTGTCATTAATTAATATTTCCTTTTGCTGAATTTATCCCTTTACTTTTTGTTAATTCTATTTGTTAATTACAATCTATTTTCTCATACCATCTAACAGTTATAGCGTTTTTTCTTATGATTTCGATTTGCTCTTAATTAACACACTATTTTTTTTCTTTCTCGTCAATATCATATATAATTAGAGCTATATTCTCATTGTTCAGGTGTAGAACTTCCTGTCAAAAAGAGAGAGAACGAAGAGGTTTAATTAGGTAAATACTTTCCCCTATTCAATATTGCATTGAAAAATTATATGCACTTGTTTCTTAATTTTTACGTTAGATAAATAATCATAATTAAATTAATCATTTAATAAAACTTCTTTTTTACTGTTTACAGAATAATTGAAAATTTAACTATTAGTAACCATCAGCAATAATTTGAAAAACAGAAGCAATTGTAAGAAATTCCTGATTCTATTGCATATGTAATCACATGAAAGTATGAAACCATTGTTCAATTATGACTAAGATAACTTACTAAGCAATGGAATTTGTATAACTAGCCTGATTTTTATAACTAGCCTGATTTCGTAAATGCATCTTTTCATTTATTTTTAAAATTAATCTTTCGTTTGAATGAAGAATAATAGTTACCTTGTTAGAGTACTATCAAATTGCTTTCAGCCATTCTATTTCTCTGTCTTCTGAATTTTGTGATGAAATCACATATTTACTCTAAACTAAACCCTTGGTTTGCATTTAGGCTTTGCATTTGGGTCGCATTCAGTAGAGAAGGGGTAATCTACTTATGTATAAAGCTGGAATTCTTTGCATGAATGTTTGTTACAATATCCAATATAGGGAGCCATTCTCCTTGTTTTTTTCTTTGTGACTCTTCTTTGATGATAACTGGCCAGTTGAAGATTGGTTAGCATTTAGAGCATTTGCATCTCTGTCTAAATGTTAGAAACTGTATGTTAAAAGCTAATGGACCACAAATTGGTGTAAGATCAGATCTGCAGTAGTCGGTAAATAAATATGTCCAATCCGTTTTCAAGTCTCTAACCACCTCACCTTATTAAACATAAATGCTATAATCGGTAAAGTTTGATCACACATTGGTCAGTTCATTGGAAATTAGGAATACAGTTAGAGTAGCTATTGGAAATCTGTTTTCAAGTAATGCAAGTATATTTATTCTTATACAGTAGATTTTATCGTCAATTTTTCTTTTTAGGAAACATTTTCTGTCGATATTTTTATGCTGTTTCAATTAATGTATTTTGCCTTTAAAGATTAGTTATTGATCATTAAATTCTCTCGATATTTTTATGCTGTTTATTAGGACAATGGCTTTAGGCCATTACTCTCCAAAAGTCCTTACAATTTTCTGCCTACCTCCTCTACTTTAGTCTCTTCCTATTTATACTACTACAACTCATACATAAATGGACAAAAGCCTTAATTTCTAATTTACTACAACTTGTCAACAAGCTAAAGTTACCACAGTAAAAGAGCTAATATAACAAAACATGCTCCCTGCCCATATCAGTAAATTGTTGCTCAAGTGAGAGGTGGAGAAGGCCTCTACTTCTGCTGCTGATCCTGTTCCCCCCTTGGTCTCCTGCTATACACCAAAAAGGGCGGAGCTTGTGGGTGCATTGCAGTACCCTTTTGTATTCGATCCATTTCTGCAAACAAATTGAGGAACACAAAGGAATCAGAAAGTTGTATGTGGATTTCGACAGACTGATGCATTGATCGATATTATTAAAAACCAACTCAACAATTTAAGCTAAGAATTTTAATTGGCATACTCAGGTATACGTAGTAAATCAGTAATCTGAGTTGATTTACTTGATAATGCTCAGCTATTTGCAGATTGATTACTGAGGTTTAGCAGAACTGTCACCTGTATGCATACTCTACTTCCTTCGATTCAGAAAATTGAAACCTGTCTGATATCCTATGCTGCACACATATTTTCTGACTAGCTGTATTTGTTTATGTTAATAGGTGCCTCATAATGAGTTACAGAAGTAAAAGAACTGCTTTACCCCCTGGCGAGGCTCAATTTTCTTCAAATAAGCAACCCACTTCGACATCCTTACAGTCTAAGTCCAGCCATATTGCAGTGTCACAATCCAACTTTTCAGAGTCTTCTAACCAATCCACCCAATGGGGACCATTTAGCCCTCCAACACTTGGAAGATCACAAACGTTTGGGCACATATTGCAACCAAACAAATCTTCTATTAATGCATCAAAACCCACATCTACATCATCTTCATCTGTAGCTGCTGCATCAAAAGCAGGTATGCCAACTATAATGCCATCAAACTCCCAACAAAAGATGTCATCAAAACCTCCTTTAACCCCATCACAACCTAGATCGTATCCTATGTTACAATCTGTAACACCACAAACATCACAACTCCCTCATAAAGAAACACTACAGCCTCACAAAGGAACAATTCAACCTACTAAACCATGAAAGCATCACAAGGCTACAGAGCATCCGACTATTCCACCTTTTACTAAAGCTAAAACTGGTGCACTTCCGTCACAAGAAACAACATAAGTCCCTCATAAAGAAACAACTCAGCCGACTAAAGCATCAAAGCAACCTCAAAAAGCTACCGAACATCCGAGTAAACAACCTTTTCCTGGAGCTAAAACAGGTGCACTGTCGGTGGGAGCTTCACAATAACCTATTGTCTCTTCTTTGACTGGAGCTAAATCCCAATTAGAAAGAAGAGCTGTTTCACCCCTAGAAGCTATGCACCAAACTCAAAAGAAGCATCCTATGACGTCTTCTAATTTTGGAGGTGAACCCTTGACACAACCTCAAATGAATACAACTTGTTCACCGGGACTCCAAAAGGAGAAGTCTCCTGCATATATTCATGCTGAAAGCAACAAGAGGTTAAATTTTGACTCTGACGAACCTGAATCTCAATCAGAGAGTGAAGAAGAGTTGCATGAGTCAGGTGGAGTGGACAGTGGTGTGAAAAGAACAAAATTTAGACGCCGAAGTATTGTGAAAAATTGGCCAGAGCATGTCAAGTTTGATGAGGAAGAAGAGGTTGTGGCATTTGGTAAGTGTAAATGCATATTTAATATTATGTGCTTTGTTTTTTTCCTTTTCGAATGTTTTTTTTTATTGTTTAACACTTACCTAATTTCATTGTTTTCAAAGATATCGATGGAACACGACACCTTGTGAAGGGTTCTGTTCAGCCTCGAGATGTGTGGAATGATGCACCAAGATTTAGGTACTTCGCCCAATTTAATGAATTCAACCAACCTCTTCACAAAGGTGGCTCCATCCTTGTGAGTTTCTTAGGAGACATTGCTAAACGAGAAGAATTTTGTCCCGTGGGAATTTGAAATTGGCATAAGTTGAGCTCGAATATGAGAGGCAATATTGTTAACCTTGTTCGGGTACGCCTTTTAATCGTTCACCATGAATATATAATCTTACTTTCATTACTACACTTATAATCTATTGCATGCCTGACATATGCTATGGTTCTCTGATATATGATATAATTATGAATGCCACAATAATAACTCACATGTTGTATGATACGCTATAAGTTATATATGCTACATAGATTAATCTTAACGTAACTTTATTTGTACATTTACTTTAAGGCACATTTTCTGTTACCCGATGGAAAGGAAATGAGGAATGCTATTTTGAAGCGTATTGGCAAAGCATGGAAAAATCATAGATATGCATTAAAGAAGGATTATTTTGATTCCGTGGAAAAAACGCGTGAGCAAAATTATGCTAGTATACTTGATGGAATCACAACTCAAAATTGGAGTTTTCTGGTTGATTATTGGCTTTCATCGGACGCCAAGGTTTGCATTTTGATTTTTACGGGAATTTCTTGTTTATAGATTAGCTCTGTATAACCGTTTTGTATGTTGTCAAGTTGTTAGTAACATTTTAGTAGGATATAATAAATGAACAATCCTAGATGTGTGATAAACATTTTGGTGGTTATGTTGTTTATGCTGATCAACTCCTCCCACAATGTCCTCTAATTCTTCATAAGCGATAACCTATGACCAGCAAATCTATAAACTTACAGTCTTATAGCTTTATAAGGAACAAATCAGAGAGAGAAAAGAGTAAAGTATACACAATGAAACAACAGTAATGGACCTCCTGTATTCGCCGCTGATGCTACAACCCTTTTCCTTTGTTGTCTCTCTAATAAGCTACATATTCTCTCCTTCCTATCTTGCTGTTGCCAATAGTCGTTTGCTTGTGTCAGCATTGCATCCCATCAGATATAGTTAGTCACACGATAAGGTTTAGAGATCTCAAATCCATTATATTTACACAGTACACGTGTTAGTGAGAACAGAGGCTAGCTTCCATCAGACCAACTCACTACCTAATGACACAAGCAAATCCGTTATATTCTGATCATAGTGGTTTTAGTGTGATGTAACTTTATTTCTATCTCATGCTAACCATGATTTTAAATAAACAGAAAATGTCTGAACTCGGAAAAGCTTCTCGTGCGTCGCAAGTTCTCGTGCGCAAGAGTGGTGCTAAAAGCTTTGCAAATCGCAGAGCTATTTTGGTATAATTATCCTTCATTTTATTTAGTCCTAAAATTTGCATTTAGTGTTTTTTTTTTTTTTCTGTTTGACTATCTTACAAGATTTGGAAGAAAATGTAACTTCGTCAATTTAAAAGACTTAAAATAGCAGAAGTTAAATGTCAGATATTTGTATGTTTCTCACATTGCAGAAAAAACAAAAAGGTGATTTCAGTGAATTGGAGTTTTTTAAAAGTGTTTACAGCGAAGGAGATGGAAGCTTCAAAGAGGGCACAACATCTCGTCAGTTTGTGGTATATATACCAATGAAAATTAGTTTAACCACTAATTTATTAGCTCTTTGCCAAGTCTTATAGTTTTCTTATCATGTAACAGGAGGATGCAATCAAGAAGGTGCAAGAAAGCCTTGATAAGTCCTCTTCTTGCATTCCCAAGGTTGATATTGAAAATGAAGTTTTCAATCAACTTATGTATCAAGGCGAGATCCCTAAGCGTCCTCTAAATTATGGCTTTGGTGTGAAGCAAAGCGACATCTTTGGAGTGGAAGGACATTTAAGGAAAGAAGGGTCTTACTATGTCAACAATAGTGATATGGAAGTGGAGAAGTTGAAGGTTGCACTGTTAGATATGAAGAAGCAAAATGAGGATCTTGCTAAACAAAATCAAATATTGAACACAAAATTTGATGCAGTTGGTTCTATGATGGCACAGGTTTTGAAGGCAACACGTAGTGGAAATGTTTCATCAGAAGTTATAGATAATGCAATACAACTACTTGATTCTCAGGTTTGGAATAAACCATTTCTTTTTTCATCCGCTTCCTTTTTTTTAAAAATTTCCTTTCATTATCTGTGGCAAGATATAAAATTTCCTTTCATTAAAATTTCCTCAAGCTAATGCAATACAACTACTTGATTCTCAGGGCTGAATCTATATTCCGTGGAATCGTACGGGTTTTAAATTCTGTATTATTGGTTTTAAATTCTGTATTATTGGTTTTAAATTCTGTATTATTGGTTTAGCTTCCTTGGTGCACCTTCTTTGCATTATGTGGTTTTCTGTAGCAATATAATCAAGAGACTCGGTTTGTCTTAAACGACAAGACAGAAAGCTACATTAGAATATTTTAGCTATATGCTACAGAACTATGAAGTTACCTTAGGGGATGTAAATTCCTTGTAGTCAGAATGATATAATGTGAGCAATAAAACCCAATATTTGAGAGGCACATATCCTAAGAATGATGGTTTAATTCATATGTTCAAGATGAAAGTGGATAAAGTTATCTGGGATATTGCGCATGTCAAGGTTTTAGTCAGAACTTTTAAGTCTGTTGGCACATATCACTGATGACTTAGGCACTTCCAGTCGTGTAATTGTGGATGCTCAGCATCTTCTGCTCATTTATTTGAGAAATAGTAGGAGAAAATTTTATTCAAATGTCGAGACAAAACGCCTGCTGTCTGCTTGACTCTACTATAACACCACATTGCAAATTTTTCTGACCCACTTAAAATTTTCTAAGATCAATAAATAATACTGATGCTGAATAAGACTATAAGAGCAGAACTACATAAACAAGTGTGTCAGCTTACCTGAAATTATTAAGGCTGATGTGAGTTTTCTGTTTCTCTTGATCTCCTTGAGTTGCTTGATTTGCTACACCTGTTCACATACTCTGATGTTCTTGACGGTACATCTATTATTGAGGATAGCTTTGAATATGTTGATGCACCTATTGTGAGGATTGCTGGTGTCGACGTACCAATGCCTTATGCACCTTTTTTTTCATCCACTTCATTGCAGGATTGCTATTTTAGGTGGTTTTAGGTTCGATTAGGGAGAAGTGGTGTTAGTTAGAGGCAAGTTAGTACGTTTTAGGTAAATGTTTGAAAGTTAGTCATTTTATATAGCTAGATTGATAAAGAATACAGTAAAAAAATATTCACCATTTATTAATAATTAAAAAATTACTTATGGTTGCTGCGAGAATGATGAAGTATGTTACTGATTATGGGGAGTATGCTAGTAGGGTGTTCAAGCCCCCTGCAATGCTCACTCCTGTTGTGTCTTCGTGGAAGTGCCGAGGGTTGGTTGGGTTAAAATTAATTGTGATGCTCACATTGGCCAAGCTACAAGGCTGCTGCTTGCAGGTATGGGCTGCTCTTGGCGTGCAGGTTGGGGTACAGTAGAGTGATTATTGAAAGCGATGCCCAGCTTGTTGTACGTCGTCTCAAGCAGCGAATGCAGGGGATTGATACCTTTAGTTTGCTGTTAGATGATATTTTATCCATTGCTAATTTGCTGCTTCTTTTTCTGATTTGTCGTTTTCTCATATTAAAAGGGCAGGTAATACTTAGACCATATTGAGCAGACATTTTGCAGTTTGTTATCTTTATCCTTAATATTTGAATAGGAATGTCATTTGTTATTAGCCGAGCACATACCGCCTTTAATAGCAATGGGTTAATTACTTGTGTTGTGCAAGAAAGTGACTATTTAGTACAAAAATTCTTGTTAGCTAGGCGTATCACTAGACAGTTATGTGCTTGGTTTACGTTCCTCTATGGCAAATATTTTCTGTTTAACTTCTCTAATTTTGCAGTACTACTACTACAATAATTGTTCACATATCAAATTTTTTTCGCAGGTTGATGATGTAGGCAGCAATGGTAAAAAGTAAATGAAGAGCGTGATTTGGCTTCAAGCACTCTTATTATATATATGTGTGGGTATTTAGTAGCTTTTATAGCGTTGTGTGTAATTAGTTTGGACATCTTTTTTAGGAAAATATTTTTTAGGAAAATATCTATATATATATGTATATATATATATGTGTGTGTGTTTTATATATATATATGTTACTTTTTGTAAATACATTTTCATCAATTATGATTTTATATATTAATTATTATTATTATTATTATTATTATTATTATTATTATTATTATTATTATTATTATTATTATTATTATTTTGGTTGTTTACAGTTTTATACAAGTACTTCATTAATTTAATTTTATCAATTTTCGTCCAAAAAAAAAGGGGGAAATAGTGACGCTTTTATAAATCAAAGTTTTTGGTGGTATTTAAATTGTTGGAAATAATATATCATCATTTTGACACACAAAAGTGTCACAACTTTTTAAACAATGACTAACAAAAGCGTCACAAGTTTTTGGACATTAGTAATGGTGGGAAATACGGCCCCCAATTTGACACACAAAAGTGTCATAATTTGATAGTAATGACTCAAAAAAGTGTCATAATTTTTTAGTAATGACACAAAAAAGTGTCATAATAATTTTGGATGACACACAAAAGCAACATATTATACTTATAAATTGACACAAAAAAGCGTCAAAATATTTTGGCTTCAAAAATTTTGACGCTTTTTAAAGCGTCAAAATAGAAAATTATGACACTTTTTAAGGTCAATATATGTACAAAAAAGTGTCAAAATGTGCCTTGTTTTTTTGTAGTGATGGATTAGGGTGTTGGAAGACATCTCAGATACATCTTTGGCAATGACTATAATAACATTTAAATTTTATTTCATGACTCAAAGTTATTCACTCCAAAATTTCATTCCAGAAAAATACATGTTTTTAAATTATACGAAATATTATATAATTGTACATACATTGTACATATATCTTAATATGTTGCCTTTATCTATTGCCCATATAAATTAGTATTAACTAAATTTGTAAATCAAAATTGCATATTGTTTCCTCATGTTAAGTAAATTAATTATCAATCTTTTAATTTCATGTAACTAATAGAGTTATGTGGAGTCAATTGACCCAATTGCTTTAAACTTGACTTTACACAAATCATTATTATTTGTCAATAGCTAGATATCTATAATTTTAATATGAAGTTAAAGTTCAAAATTTAATCCCTTATACCTTTTAGTTTAAGATTCACCACACTTCTTACTTTATATCATTATATACAGTCTTTAAATAAAAAATGATATAATAGAATATAACAATCCTGGGATATAATCAAGAAAATTGCTACACAACGTAACCTTATAGTCTTAATAATCTCGAAATGTTTTTACCAATTGCGGAAAATCATAAATTGAGTGATTATTTTTTTTAAATTTCACCATGCTTTTTCTTCTTATAATATTATTTGATAATTATATATAATTTTTGTGTAGTCTTTTATTGACCTTTAATGAGCTAGTATTTATAAGCTTGCGGCTTAATATAACAAGTGGTTCAACACTCTTTTAAATGAAGGTTGAACAGAGAGAGTTCAAGCTCTAGACACTAACATTTTAAGAGGTATTGTGCATGCAATTTTTGTATTTCAAGGAGATTCGTGCCATAAAACAGATGACGCATCGAAACTTGTATGTGTGCGAGGTTTAGAACCAAATGCAACCAAATCATGGAATTAGCAGGCACTAAATTAATGCACTACATCCATTTAAACCAATACTTGTTTATTTAATTAATAGATTTGTTTAGAGTTAGTCATGCGCCAAGGTTAGTTTTGGAAACGATACAATATTTCCACCAGTATCGAACCTTACAACATGATATATCATATAAAATATTGCAAACTTACAATGTCAGTCCATGTTTACATTGTATATCTACTTTTGATGGCGGCAAAGTAAATTTGTTATTCGTTTTGATATTGATCTTATATAGAATAATTACAACTACCTGATATATTTAATTAAATTAATTTTAGGACATGCAATCATCACTCAAGGTTTTTGCAAGTAGCATCATTGAATTGTCTTAAATGGGCTAATGTATCCATGCAATCCTTTGGAGGTAAATTTAATACCAATTATTGTCATATACAAAGTACAAGTAGATCTATAGATTGATATGCATTCAATCTTTATTTGTCTGACTCATAATATTTTTTTGGGTGGAATAGGGTGTTAGAAGATATCTCGGATACATCGGTGGCAATAAGTATTACCTCTGTCTCTACTTTTTTTGTTCAATTGGACTTTTCACGGTCTTTGAGACGCGTGTTAAAACGTATATATCTCAAGATCTATAATTGTAAAAATTATAAAAACTTGATATTAATAAAATGTATTCTTGACGAATCCAACAATATCCCACTTGACTATATTATTTCTTATACATTAATGGGAATTTGTGGTCAAAGTTATTAAAAGTTGATCCAAAAATTAACTATGGGGAAAAAAAAGAGGGACAAAGGGAGTATAACATTGCAAATTTATTTTTCATTCAAAAAAACAAAAAAAAATTACAAATATTTTATAACTCACAATCATCGACTACAAATCAAAAATTTCATTCTAAAATAATACTCCCTCCATCCTTTAATACTCCCTCCGTCCTATAATTTTTGGGACGTTAATGTGGACACGTAGTTTAAGAAAGTACAAGTAGGTCTATTAAAAACTTTTGTTTATTATATATAGAAGATTCTCTTTTTATTTTTTTATATTACAAGAAAACAAGAAGTGGGGTGGAAATGGGATAGGCAAGGAGAGAAAATGTGGGAAAATATATTTTTATTAGTAGTCCCATTTCACATTCAGTAATATATCAAGTATTATAGGATAGGCAAAAATGAGAATTGTATCAAGTATTATGAAACACAGGGAGTATATGTTTTTAAATTATACAAAATATTATTATGTACATATATCATAGTATGTTGCTTTCATCAATTGGCCCATATAAATTTGTGTAAATTAAAATTTGTAAGTCGAACTCGCCTATTGTTTGATGTTAACTCATTTAATTGTTCATTGTTTAATTGCATGTAACAAGCTTTTACAAAAGTTATGTAGGGTCAATATCATGTTTATTTAAGATCATTGTTATTTTTCAATAGTTAAATATCTATAAAGTTCAAAACTTAACCCCTTATATCTTTTAGAGTTTTAGTTTAAAATCCTCCATTGTTTGTATGCATACAAGACTTGTACTATCATACTTTGTTTCAAAGATTCCATTGATATTCCATTGATTCTTTAGTTAAGTTTAGATTTGTATGATACTTAATAATAATATAAAGCTTTAATTTGAAAATTTCCAGTATTATACAAGTATAAATTGTTGTATTGAAAAGGCAAAAGCACACCCTGTCATATTTGCATGAAATGACTACAATTTTACTCTCAAAAAGAAAAAATTCTTGAAGCAAATTTTGGTTCGAGTATGTAGTCATTTGTTGCTATAACACCTGAAGAAAAAGGAAAACAAGGAAAAGAGGAA